TGGTCCTCATCAAACCTTCCTCACACCCCCCAAACCTTCAGTCCCCAGCTGTCCCCCCTCCTTCCTCCCCTTGTAGCCAACAGCCTTGTGCAGTAGGACCTGTGGATGGAGATATCCCAAAAAGGGAAAGCTAGGATCCTCTAGGAATTCCCATCAACGTGCCAAATACAAAATACCGAAACAACCCCCTCTCAGCAACAGACTAAATATGGTGTATACCCAAAGGATCAGAGCACAGGCCTGAGTGAAATTATTTCTCTTAACATCAACAGCTCTGTCTTCTCTGGAAAATAAACCCTCCTGGGGAAGATGGATGGAGCTCATATTGGTCTCATCATCCTAAAAAAATACCTATGAGGGGAGGCTGGGCTGAAAACCTCTGCTGTCAGTGGGGCAGGAACTTTCAGGTGTGATAGACCTGAAATCTCTTTTTCTAGTTCTGGCCAGTGGTGAAAAAATTTGGACAAAGAGGAGAGAGGGAAAGAGCGCTGGGGTTTCTGGTTTCCACTCTGCAACATTTTAGAAATATCAGATGCGGGGTCAAGTTTGGGCCTCAGCTGGAGAAGACCAGATTTGCCAGGGCAGTGACACAGTCCCAGAGGTCACAGACCGTCCTGCCAGGGGAAGGGTTGGTGTCTGCAGTGGTGTGGGGCTGCCACGGAGCCATGCAGAGCCTTCCAGGACCCAGCAGCGCCATATCAGACCTGTGCATGTGTGACTTCGTTGGAGCAAAGCCAGGGAAATGATCACCACCACATAAATCCAAGAAACTTGTCCTTCTTAGCAGAAAGTTCCTCACAGGGCAGGGTAGTTCGCCCTATCTTATTTTTTTTCTCCTGCAGTTTCTTGATTACAAACTTAGCTTTTAATTAGAAACACAATTAAATGCAAGGGAATCCTCTGAAAAGTATGATCATTTTAACATTCATCAATGTTATTCTAAGAAGTTCCTTTTAAACACATGCAGCTGTTTCACAAAACCAGACACATTATAATAGTAGCTTAAAAAGGAGTGGAAATTATTCTGGCTGGTCTGCAAACCACTGCACACGCAGGCTTGCTGCCCGAGGAGGGAGTTTAACAGCAGCAGTGCCGGAGGGTGATCTATGATGTGACATTAAATGGAGCTGGAAAGTAAAAAAAAAATATTACTGCTTACTGCTGGGACTGAAAGAGTTGCACTCTCAAGCCATGTGGGGTAAGAATTGATGAGTATAAGCATGGCCTCCAACCTCCACTTAAAAGCTAATGTAAGAATATACTAATCTGACAGCCTGGTTGGGGGCTCCTGAAAGTTGTGGTGTTTGCTTTAAACCAAAGTTGCTTCAAAATGAAAGCTGTGGATTTCCAGTGGATGATAAGTTTGTGACAAGAAAATAAGCTTTGTTTGAACTGCCTTGATTTGTTTATTTATTTGTTTTAATTACTTTCCTAGAAAAAAATAAAGCATTAAGCAGCCTACCCTTAAATATTTCCTTACTGAATTTGCACTGTAAATATTGTACTTGGGGAAAAGAAAGGGGACCCAAGAAGGAAAGAAGTGAACTTTTAGCTGCCTTACCATGATGTAACCTGAACACAAGAGAGAGGAAAAAAGAACAGCACAGATGGTGATGTTAGTTTGTTAAATAAGGCATCAGGTAAGCAATTTTTGTTTTGTTTAGAAATGTTTTTACTCTAGTTTTACCAACCATGTTTCTCGAAGATGACAGGTGTAATTAGAACAGGTAATTGTAGTGGTGGATTACCACCTGTGTCAAGCTGTGCCCTTGCAGCAGGAGGGACAGTCTGTGTCCAAGCCAGGACAATCCATCTTGAGAACAGTCTGATGAGGGAAAACACTCACCAGCTGCTTGATGTTTGTGCTTCACCTGCTGCAGGTGGTCAGGTGAAGTGTGAGAAGTGCACAGAGCAGGTCTGAATCAGCTGCTGCTGAAAGGGTGTATTTGCAAGTGTGAACAAACATTTCGGGGTTTCTTTTCCTAAAGGTGATTACCCAAGGCTAATCAGTCCTCCGGAAAAATGATCCAGTGGCACTGAGATTGAGTGCCTGACATGAGGGTGCTCAGGAAGGAAAACGTAACTGACTCCTCAGGGGGAGCTGATAAAGCTTCAAAAAATCTCCTCTGTGCAGGACAGAAACTGAAACCTCTGAAACAGCACAGCTGCAGTCGAGAGACACAGTTTGCTCTCCTTCAAGGGGAGAGCAAAAATTTGGTCTTGAAGAATTTTTTATTTTTAAAACTTGTGGGTTAAGTTCTTCCAAAGTGCTTTCCAGATCTGATATCCACACCAGACTTCACTGGCTCCTTGTCACCTTCACTTGTGATAATGTGCTTGGACAACAAACAGCCTCTTTTAATGGCATTCCCTCCATAATGCTCTTGGTTAATGTTCTTTCTCCAACAAAACTCACAAATGCATTTTGCTGTTTAAAGACCCTAAACTTCTATAAGCTTGTATCTTTTTTTTTTTTTTTTCATTTTCTGTTGTCAGTAGAAAGAATAAGGGCAGTTAATACAAGACATGCCAGGCTGTAATTATGCAACTTCTGAATTTAAGAAAGTAATTTTTGTGTATGCTCAGCTAGGTGGCAATTTCTTCTAAAACCCGAACCTGTGACCCTAAGACTGTGAAATATTTTGATCTAAATATTGATCTCACCTTAAAATTTTAAGGAATGCTAAGTGCATCCATGTGGGAAAGATTTGCAATTCCTCTTCACCCAGTAACAAGGCAGGCAGTCTGACATTCAGAGGACTTGCTGTGTTTTAGCATCTTAAAAGATACTCTCATATTTCATGTACTGACAAGATAAATGCTAGACAATTAATAATATTATTGGACCAGTATATTTTCACAGACATATTTCAAAGCTTTGTTGTAAATAAACATCACTAGAAATACACTTTAATTTGCCTTTAGTTTGCTTGTACAATGATTATACTTTGAAACAAGAGATTTTTTTCTAACCCCCTGATGTGGCTGTGAGGGTTTTGGAGAATTAGATGAAATTCAAGTTACACCCAGAGCAAACAGACCAAATTCCACCCACTGTCCAGTGGGTGAATCCCCAGAGAAAAGAGTCCAAAGATTCCCTGTGTTTCAAATGTATTTTGTCTCTGATTTCAGACATACATCTTTACCTCAAAGCTCTGTGAAGGATGCCCTTGTAGCAGTCTCTGCTTTCCTGACTGTGGAGAGAGGAGCCTGCTGAGCTGTGTGCTTGGGAAAGGGCAGGTACCAAACATCCCTTTGCCTTCTTCAGCCTGGGGGATATTTTTTTTAAATTTCTACCAATAAAAATTCATTTCCCAGGGAGCTCCATGGCACCTGGGTAGCATCTGAATGATCTATGGTGGGAAGACAGAAAGCAGAAGCAGTGCCTTTGGTTACACTGAAACATTTGCATAGCACAGAAGGTTTGAGCTTTTGTGTTTTCAGAGCCTTTTTCTTTGCTCTTGAAAAGACAATTCATAATCCCAATATACATAACAATTTGATCCACTGCTTCATGGAAAAACACGGGTCTAGCACTGAACTTCCAGAAAGTCAAATTAAAAATTCAGGGATGGCTCTTCAGCCCAGCAGCTGAAGGTGACAGAGGTGTGAGCACACAGCAGAGAGATTCCCTTGCCTCATCCAGTGGTCAGCTGCCACTGCTGCAGAGGACTTAAAGATGGATTTGATTGAGGTTTATTTGCAAACACAGGTCCTCCCCTCCTGGCAGCAGTCCTGAGACACAAATCAGCCAGCGAGGAGCTGCCAGCACTGCCAGTCACAGAGGAGATGAGCTCACTGCTGAGGCTTCAAATGGATAATGCAGCCTCTCTGCAATTCCACATTACAGTGCAGGCTGCTGGGAGAAATAAAAAGTATCCCTACAATGCTAACTGGGTCAAATCAAGATAAAGGCAAAACTTCACAGTGTGAAATTCACAACTTGGGGTCCTTGCAACTGCAGAAACTGCAAGTTCTCCTCCTCTCTTCCCCCTTCCACTCTACCATTTATCTAACAATAAAGACTTTTAAGGACCTGCCTCTAGAGATTTAGTTATACAAAACTCCTCTCAGTACCACTGGATATATTTAACTTTTATGCATTTTGTTAAAATGAGAAGAGAAAAAAATAGATGTTATTTTTTACGTACTCCTGCAAGTTTGGCTTTTAAAATAAATTACCATTTCAAAACATGTAAATACCTCAGCTAAAAATGAGTTCTGAGAATCAGTAATCTACTATCAACTTTATTTTTAGCTTTGCCTTAGAGTTTCATGCCATTTGGGAAAAAAACCCAGAAGTTCCTTTGCCTCCCATATACCCAGTGTTACACCAAACAATTTATAGCAACTCCAGATGGAAAAAACTTACTCTTGTTTGTTTGCTGGAATGAGGATAAATATAGTCCCCATTTCTGGAGAATTAAAAACAACTATCCCTCTAAATCACTTCAATTTTTCTATTACAATTTCTTTTCCCTTACTTATCTGAAAGTTGCAGCTTCTTTTTAAAAAGAATGATTGAAATGTTTACTTTGAACACTCTCAAAATACCACACAGAATAAAATTGAAAAATTTTATTCAGAAACACAGAAAAAACATACAAGGATATAAAAGTAAAAATTATAAGTTATTATATAAAAATTAATTTTTATATATTCAGGTGCAATTCTAGATACAGGATTCACTAAGGTGAGTCCCTATACAGTCTTCCTTCTATCAGCAGTGTGGAAAGAGAGCTTTGCTAACATTTTTTAAATTGACAGTAAGCATGACCTTGTCATCCTGTCTCATGAGTAGATATTACAAGCTAAAATGGTCCCACTGGATTTATTGGAGAAATCTGTGCAATGAAGAATGTCCTAAATTAAATCTGACAGACCTTGGAAATGAGAAATTACAAAATGAAAGATATCATCTCTTTATACTTTGTAAAATAAGAGGCTCTTCGAAGCTCGTGCCAGCCATCCTTCCTGGTTCTGGAATTCTGTCTGGAAATGAAACACAGACAAAAATATTCTCATGCATCTGGAGGTCCAAGGTGAGTTACCTTCTACTATTACCAACTTGGATGTACAATATCATCATGGGGAACTTAGGAAATTTTACAGATAAATGTTTCCATGCAGTTGTAGGAGATAAAAGCTTTATATTACTGAGAGTGGATTTCAGACAACTTCCAACTCAGCTGTAGAGAATGAGGTAAAGAAACACCAGATTTCACACCTTTTATCAGGATCCCCAGTCTGCTGGGATACTCATACATCTAAATAAACCAGATAATTTCTAAAGTGAAAAGCAAGTCAGATGTTAAATAAGAGACTTGGCAGGTTGAGTTTATGAATATGCAGCCTAATGAACACAGTTGGATAATTAGTATTTTAAACCCACTGCCTTTAGGTCTCAACTAACATGCTCCACAGACACATGCAGACAGTAATTTCAGAATATATTTACTTAAAGGTTCAAAGCCTTAAAAATTTAGTTTTTTGTTTAGTTCTAAAAAAGCAATGTGCTGTTGTGTCTCATGATTGATCCTGAGTTCTGTAACTAACTGTAACCAATTAAATCTCCATGTGAAGTTATATTGAAGTCAACAGGGCAAGGTGACCCTGCAGAGTCAGCAGAAACAAAAGTTACTTTAAAAACAATTCTCCTAGACATTCAGTTTGTTTTAAAAATGGAGAAATTTCTGATAGGAATAACTGTTTTCTAACAAACAAGTAATTTATAGTAGTTTTGGTATGGAAATTTTGTTTCTTCAGCCCCCTCTTCTGGCAGAAGAAAAACGTAATTGTCTCAGTAAATTAACTGTTAAAAACCTGTTAGTACTTCTCACCCTTTTCGGATATCAGTAAAATCTCAGGCTTCATACTTTTGAAATGTTTGGATACAAACCAAACCATGAAATTAACAGGAGAGTAATAAATTTTCACAGTAAAAAATGAAGCAATATGCCAAGCAGACTCTTTGAAGGAAAAAGCTGGGCCAATGAACCTTTTTGTTCTCTAGCTTAGGTGGTATTAATTGTAACCACTCCAAAAGCAGACCAGAAAAGGCAAGTAAGGTTTAGCAGTGTTTACTGTAGAGCAATGAACTTTGGGTTTAAGCTTTTGTGGCAAATAGGATATGAGTTTTGTTCTCAGAAGAAGTTTATGCCCATGTAAAGAACTGACAGCTAAAGAGTTAAGAACTTTCTATAGAAATTAGGTTAGACCAGATGAGAAACAGAGATATGCTCACTATTTATTTTATTGAGAATTTAGGTTAAAATATTGTATCGAATTCCCAGTATAGTGAGACTGTCTCTAGCTGACCCTTTTCAGGTTTGTAATAATGTAAGGGAGTACAATTTGGCCAGTTGAACATTTAGGGTAAAGCCATCTGGTGTCAGATGAAAGCACTCCGTGCACAGAGAAGGAGCTACACGTGTCCAGCTGCATGGCTGTGCTAATATAAGCATATCCATGGCACAGGAAATCTGGTCAAAGATAAAAGTTTGCAAAAAAAAGTTCTGCACACACCTTTTTGATTTCTCTCAGCAGCTGGTTTGCCAAGGTTCTGCTTTGGATAATTCAGCAAGGACACTAGGAAATCTGGTCACAGATAAACGTTTGCAAAAATAATACTGCACACACCTTTTTGGTTTCTCTCAGCAGCTGGTTTGCCAAGGTTCTGCTTTGGATAATTCAGCAAGGACACTTTTGGAAGGATATTCTGGGTACTTTCTTCTTTACCACCATGCAAGAAATGTGAGAGAATTCCATACAGGAGAGGTCTGCTTAAGGGAGAAATTCAAAAGTAGTCTGTAAAGTCTGTGAAATACTGAACATTAAAATACACTTCTCCCAGGACTTCTTACATCTTAATATTTACTTCTACAATATGTACATATGTCTTTGATGACTTAAAACCCATCCAAGTATCATTACATAAATAAGCACCGACCTAAGCTCCCCCTGAACACCAACACTGCCCTAAAAAGCTCAGACTAAGAGACATCTCCACTGAACTTCAGCTCCCCTGGCAGGTGAAGAACTGGAGTGTGTTCAGCACGGGAGCACAGATCCACATTCTCACCCATGGATCAGAAGGATCCATGCACTCACAAGAGATCAGACTTTGGTGGGCCAGTCCACCATGGCACATCTCAAACTTGGCTCTTCCTAGGCACCTGACAGGTTCAGACAGCACAAGCTGCAGAGAATGCTGAACGTGTCTGAGCCTGCTTCAGCCTCAGGTCATTAATGCAGTTTTATTGCTGCACTCTGATTTTATATCTAATCTCACAGTAATCTTTCTATTGCTCCACACAGCAACTCACAGAGATGCAAAGAGCAGATCTACCTTCTGTAGACTGTACTGGTAAGAGAGTTGTGTTTTGGTGCACAAGGGCACTGCCTGGAGAATGCCACAGTGTTGGCAGAATGCAGTGTTAGTTTGGAGTATGTCTGAAAACAGCCTCATGTTTGGCATCCTGAAGCTGAATCCAGCATTAAACATGCGTGGGACCATCAGCCACATTTTAATTGGTGAGAACATCTGTATGTGATTTATAATTACACTAAAGAGAAAAATATACTGGCATATAGAATGTACAGAATATACATTGCATTCCAAAATTCTTCCTTACACTGATTTTCCACTTGCATCTTCAACTATATTCAGCTCTTTGGCAAGAAATTGTCTATCCAGGGGCACTTCAGGCTGGCCAGATTCTGGAAAACAAAATCCCTGGATCTTAAGACCAGTAAGAAAAATGTCACCAATTAACAGAAGACTTCAAAACATCATGAGAGCACACAGCTCTCTTTTAGACTATTAATAACTAACAGTGTATTGTAAATCCAGGGAACTCACTTAAGCATTAGTGATTCATACAGGCATAATTTACAATAGCACATTACAGTTTTTATCTTCACTCTTAAAGAATCTAAGAAAAATATTAAAGAAGTTTTACTGTATAAAGATAAATTCATCAGGCAAACAACTCTTTCTCTAAACTACTACTCTCAGGCATGTCAAGAAATTTGAGTTTGGAAGCTGTTATCAAGTTTTCTTGCCCTTGCATCAACTACTGTGTCAAATAATTTACCTCGGGTAAAGGAGAAAAGAGTAAGTTTTCTTGAAAACTAATGGAATGATTTAGCTTAATGCTGCAAGTAGAGCTGTGGAGAGGTTGTTTGTACCCTGTTAATTCCCAAGGGAAGACAAGATTATGCAGCTTATCACATTACTAATTCCATAATATCAATGGAATGATTAAACCAAACAATCACTGGTACTATTACCGCGATGACACAAATCCATGGCCAATACCTGCCGTCAGAACGGATGCTGTGTATTTATACTTGTTGTACTCCAGGTACTCCCGAATGAGCTCATTGATCAGGAGGTTCTCCCGGGACAGCGTGGGCCGCGGCTCGCTCTGGTCCTCCAGGGCATTGAACACTTCAGCTCTGATCCTCGCCTTGATTTGGGCAAGAGCTCCTCTTTTTTCCAGGGTGTCCTTTAAAACTGCCACCATAAAAAGGCGGGTCAGTTTAAAGCCAAGCGCGTTCGAGCAGCAGCATTAACCAGCCCCGGCACAAACAGAGTTTTGGCGTACGCGATAAGGCGCGCGGCAGCGATAAGGTGTCCGCGCGCGTGCCAGCACCCACCAGGCCGGGCACGGCCCAGATAAAATTAAACCTGCAGGAAAGTCGCAAACACAACTTTTATTTTTTTTTTTTTAGTCGCAAGCATACATTCTGGCAATCTAAGAAATAGGATGTTACTGCACCAAGATGCGTTTAATACAGAAGTAGACTGAAATACAGCCCACGGTACGTGGCGGGGGCAGCGCCAAGGGACGGGGGCCCCCATTAGCGCCCGCGGCAGCTCTGAGACCCATCCGTGTGGCCGCGGAAAGCCGATCCGCGCTCCTGCCCTCCCGGCGGCCCGAGACATCCCCGAACCCAGCCCCGGCTCCGGCCCCGACCTGCTTTGAGCTCCGCCACCGTCGCCATGGCCGCGCCGGGACCCGGATGGCGCCGCGCGCACTGCGCAGGCGCGGGGCCGGGCGGCGGGAGCTCCGTGAGGGGACAGCGCGGGGCCGGGCGGCGGGAGCTCCCTGAGGGAGCGGAGCCCCGGGGGATCCCTCTGCTGCCAGCGGCCCGGGGCCAGGTCGTGCCGGGATAGAATAACCAGCGTCAGCAGCGCCTCCGTGCTGGCCGTGCAGCTAGCGCTCGGTGTCCTGCTGTCCAGCCCCGTCAGCTGGGCGGAGTGTCAGGGTTGCCACGCTTTCTCCTTCTGTAATTTCAGAGGTTGGCAAAAATCGGGGAAGGAAACATGGAAAATGAGCGAGAATTTCTTCCGTGTGTGCAGCGGAGGAGTTTTGCACCGAGTCCCTGACAGATGTACTGTTGATTAAAAGGACTCGCCAAAGCTGAGTTTCTAATAAAAAGGACTTGCCAAAATGTAACTGTATACGGGGTGTTTTGCAAGCCTGCGGATCCCTGGCGTGTCTGGAGGCTTGTGTGTGTGCTCCTTGTTGCTGGGATGAGTCAAGAGTGTTTATTCTGTCAATGCATTAAGTATTTCCCAAAGGAAATGCGGCTGGTGTGGGTGAACAAACTGGATTTGCTATTGTCTGCTGAGGCTTGAAGGAAAATGTGAGTTGTCTTAGGCAGTAAAACCTAAGACAAGACTTAAGGGTAGGGGTTGGGGAGTTTGTTAGGATTGTTTTGTTTTGTTTGTTTGTTATATTTTCTCTCAAAGCAAATATTTATATGACAGTCTTCCAAAGCCTCTCTGGCAGAGGTCAATAAATAAAATTTAGGAAAATCAGAAGTGGTGGTGAAGTCAATGTGTTTCCTCAGCCCAGCAGTCGCTGACAGTGAGTCAGAGCAGTGCTTGCCCCCGGCCACCCTGAGCCCGCTGCCCGCATCCCCAGGGGCAGCCTGGGGACGAACAGCTGCTTGTGTTTAACTTTATGGCATTTTCACAGTCTAAACATGTTTCTCTGCATCCTTCCAAACTTCTCCATGACCTTGTGAGTCACTCTTCCATCACACCTGATTTCCCGTTGATAAGTTGAAGTTTTCCACACTGCGTCAGTTTCCCGACCTACTTAAATTTGTATTCTACAAAAAAAAAAAAAAAAAAAAAAATCATATAGAATTGTGTGTAGTTCTTTTTTCTGCTTGCAAGGGAATCTCCTTTTTCGACAAGATTTCAGTTTCTATTTCTTGTATGAATCTGTGTTTTAACAATGGTTTGTGAAATGCACGTTCAGTGACTTTCTGGTACTCTGAGATTTGGTTCTGTATTTCTGCAAGTTTGACCTTGTGTCAGCTCTAGTTTTTCTCCTCCACAAAAAATATTTTGAATCTGTTATATTTTTCTTCTGAACTCTTTTGCTTTTTCTCACATTAATTAATTATTTACTCTGTATTTTGGTCTACAAGGAAATATAATTAATTGGAATAGAACTAGTTTGAGGTGGAAATCCAAGAATAATTTTTTGAGGAGAAACATTATTGACATGGAACATGACAACTGGTGACATTGGGACAGTCTGGGGCTGAAAGAAAAGTATTTGGAATGTGAAACTTAAATTTTGTTAGTCTTTTAGCTTACAATAAACATGTGTGGGTAAAAAATATCTTTCTAGACACTCCTCACTTCATGCTTATTTACTCTCTTTTGCATATAAAAATGAAGGGAATCATATTTGAACATTTAGCTGTTGTCTTGCAATACTGTAAAGATTTCAACAGGATATGAATTAAGGTATGGGTTAAACTGACAAACTCATAGGACTTCTGACACCCACCGTGTGGTTTGATCTTTCTGTGGTGATTGTGCTCCGTTCATCAGTGCAGACGGGAGCTGGGTGGGCTGGACTCCGCCGCTGCTGCTCCTCTGAGAGTGCAGGATGCAGGGGGACAGACAGAAATACTGCAGTCGGGTGGACAATCTGGCCACCACTAGCACAGCTCTGAAACTGCAGCTCTGAAAGGGCAGGTGAATAAAGAAGCAGTCTGTGATATATTTTTTGTGTGTGCGATGGCTGCTTTTAAGTTACACATTAAACAAATAAGACCTGTCTCTTTTTTTTTAACAATTTTGTCTGTTACCATGATTGCGCTGGATGGACAAGAGCATTTTAAATTGAGGTTTGTGTGATTAAAGATTTCAGATGTTACTGTAGAGTACTATGTAACCACCCTGCTATTTCCTGCAGCATGCGATGCCATTCCTACATATGTACCGCCATACTCCAGCTGGTCTATTCTGGTAGTCAGGCGAGCTGACTGGATTTAACTGGTGCATTTTAAATAGGATGTGAAGACACCGTGAGACACAGCCCAATGCAACCACAGGGCTGTGCAGTCAGCTCAACTACTACGTATTTTCATACAAACCTGGCTGTGGATGAAGATGTCTTGGTTCTGTTTGTGCTAATCAGCTTGAACTGGTTGAGGGCATTGAAACCAGTACAACTGATTCACGCTGAGAAGTGAGCTGTTTGAAGGCGAACTCAGGCTTTCCCTGGGGCCTTCCCCATGGACCTTGCCTTGGCTGAGTCCCGCGGGGCCGGGTGCCAGCGGGGCACTGCGGTACCCCTCCTCGCGGGACACGTTGGGACCCTGTTCCCAGGAGCAGTGTCTCGGAGAGGGAGATACTGTCATGCCCACCGCTGGCTGCGGCCAGCCCGGCGGGCAGGTGCGGTGCGGGTGCGAGGCGCAGGACCCTGGAGGCTGCTGGTGCAACTGACCCGGGCAGGCGGGCGCGCCCGCGGAGCTCCGGGGGCAGCGATTCCGCCCCGGCTACGCTGCCGGGGGCGCGGGGCATTTCTGCGTTGAACAAAGGCAGGCGTCGGGTTCTGGCCGAGGCTCCTGGGCCCGTCCGCCCTGATGCGGAGCAGCTGCTGGCCCCGCGGGACGCACCCACGCCGGCGTTGCGGGCGCACCCGCGGAGCCCGCACGCGGCGCTGCCCGGCCGCCCCCGCGGGCGGCGGCGGCCCCGGGCTCGGCATCCCCGTGACGCGGAGCCAATCAGGGCTCCGAGCTGCCGCTGCCGGCCCGGCCCCGCCCGCCGCTGCTCAGGCCGGAGAGCTGTGGACGGGGAAGCGGTGCCGCGGTAGTCCGCGGTTGCCTCACCGCGCTCCATGGGGATCGAGAGCTTCTGCAGCGTGGACGCTTCCGAGCCCTTCTGGGTGAGCGGCGGGATGGGGCCGCGGCGGCTCGGCTCGGCGGCGGCTGCCGGTGTCGGCACGGAGGGATGGCGGGGAGCCGGGTGGGGCTTGGGCGGTGACGGAGCCCGAAGGGGCTGCGCCCGGCAGCGGGGCAGCGGGAGCCTGCGGTGCAGCGCTCCCCGGGCAGAGCGCGGGGGCTGCGGTGCGCCCCGGCCGTGAGCACCGGCGCGGAGCGGCCGCTGGCCGGCGGGGCCGGGCCGTGCCGGCGGCGCGCGGTCTCCGCCGGGCGCGGTGTTCCCACGGCCGGGTCGCGGGGCTGGGGCTGCTGCCGGCGCGCCTCGCGTGCGGGTCTTCCGGCGGCGCGATGCCTGGAGGGGGAACTGGCGAGGGTGCCTGCCCGGCGCTGGGAAGGAGCTCCCGAGCGGCCGGGGCAGGTCTGTGCCCACGCGTTTGGCCGCTCGGCTGCGTTACTCGGGGCCGTGCGGGTAACAACAATAACGGTGTCTGGCGGCTGCCGGCACACGAGAGCGGCTGAAGGAGGCCACGGAGCCGCAGCTTTATCGCACAGCAGTATTTTCGCTCTTCCTTAGCGAAGAGCGGTGAGCGCAGGTGCTGTGCGGGAGCTGAAGGGCGGCTGTGCACAGGTGAGCGATGGGGGGACCGGGTTCCTCTGCGGGGACACGCGGGTCCTGGCACCTGGGAGAGCACCGCAGTGAAAATTCATCGCAGGAGCAGCCTGGTTGTATGTGGAAGGAGGTTGTGTGGAGGGAGGGTAGAGCTGGAAAGTTAGGAAAATAAATCTGGAGTGAGAGCTACTGAAGTCAACATAGGAAGAGAACTACTTGTACGTTCATCAGATGTTTGCCAAATAGTTTTGAACTAATGAGCTGCCTTACTAGTGAAAAAATAAAACAGAATCAGATATCTCAATAAATAGCATTGTACTATTTATCTCAAGAACCATTAGGATATTACTGCGTAGATATTTTTAAAGTCATCAAGACTAAGGCAGTTTTTTCTAGCTGATCAAAAGTGACTCTGCTAACTTGTTTTTATATTGCTTATACTAATATCTCCTTTCTGCTATTTCTCAGGTTTTTCAGAACTGTCTAAATTATGAGTTGTCCTTATACATATTTTTTTCTCTTGCCTAGAATGAGACTTTTCATTTGAAGGGCTTAAGAGAATACATGTTTCAGAACGAGTTTATGGAAAAACTGACTTGAGAGAGTAGTAGGATTGTGAAAAAGAGCTTCCAGCTCATTCTTTGAGCTATGGAATTGTAGCATCAGGTAGGCACAAGAACTACACATAGGAAGTTGGAAGCAATGAGTTTATATAAGATTTCTGGCAGCAGATTCTTTTATTAGGAAAACTGTTCTCATGTGTATTACAGCCATTTCTAGTATTTTTGTAAAAACTACTCCATACATTTTTTCCACTAGTTGCATTGATTCCCAGTGTTTTGGGATGTGTCATCCTTCTCTAAGTCACATGGAGTCTGCCTTTCATTTCCTCCAGCTAAAGATCCCGTGGGTGTGGTTGTTTGATTTCTGGGTTCTTCTGATCCTGCAGAAGAATAATTGTGCATTTGAGTGGGGGCTAGATGTGCTTGGAAAAATCTTCCTTCATGCTGAACTTTTCTTCATAAGTAACGCTTTTGTTTCCTCTTTGTTGCATCATTCCCAGTAGGGGAGAGTAGAAATGCCAGTTTGGGTGTTTATGGGTACTCTGGCTGCTGCTTTTTTGATATTTCCATTATTGCTGCTCTTTAAAGCTGAAGTTGTAGTGGATTTTCAGAAATTGTCTCTGTATATGCAGAGTTCACTGGGCTTCTGGGTATGTCCTGTGGTTGGGTCCTGGCTCCTGGACTGCGCTCCTGCGCTTCTGAGAGCTGGGTGGTGGCTGGATACACAGTGGCACACGTTGCTGCATTCTTGTGGTGGCTGCATCAGCTGTTTTGGTTGGTCCCGAAGCCTTGCTAGTGGAGCAGAGGGATTTCTGGCAAACTCGGCTTCAAGGAGATGATGTGTTTTCTGTCAGAGGTGCTCCTGAGTTGTGGGCAGGTCAGTTTTAAATTGTGGGGGAGACTGGCTGAAAGGACCTAATGGACCCTTAAAACT